TTTATTATAGTTAAATTGGGGTTAGTAATATTTACAACAATTTTAACTACATATATTACAACCAGCCTATAGGACTACTTTGATTATCCTTTAAGTAAACCTGACATTGCAGTACATGTTTCACACATGATAGTGCATGCTCGTTCGGTAATTACTTTCCTAATTAGTACATGTTGTCTGCCGTCATTGTGTTCGTATTTCAAGCCACCTTTTGGGGTACTGCTATAACACAATTTGTATCTCAAGCACAACCTTTTCTAATTAGTTTTTTTCATTACATTCTTCTACCCTTTATAAGGTTCACAAACTCCAGTACCCCATTCTGTTACTTTTCACATTAGTTTTCCAAACCAGATGACCCGAAAGAACTGTCTGCTCAGATCCAAGGTTCTCAAGCTTAGGTCTGAAGGTTACCCGATCCTTGGACTATATTTTTATAGCACATGACCTTTTCCTTCAGAGTTTTATCTTAGAATCTTACCTCTAGTCATACTATCGAAGTAGCCAATGAATGTATACTTCCCTGACAAAAGTCACTGCTTTTCAATAATTACAAAGATCTAACCTAATTTGTTGATGATTATAGCTTCATATAAAGTATTATTTTTTATATACAAATCAGTCTTTGCATAGTAAGTAAAGTTGTTTACTATGATGATTTGTATACAATTTGAAAATTTTAAAAAAGTTTTGGTAAATTTCTTTTGTTATTTTTAGCATTTTAGATGTTATTACCAAAAAATAAAAAATAAATAAATAAATTTTTTATATAACGATGCATTCTTGAACTTTTAAAAAATTTTTGATGAAAGTTTAATTCTATATACATTCGAACTCAATGAACAACTTTAATTAAGACTTAAACTAATGTTAACAATATGGTTTTCTAGATTATTGTATTTAATTAAAATTTTTTATTTAAAAAAAAATCATATTTTTAATAACTTAAAATTTTTTCCAATATAACATTATAAAACTTATATTAGAATCACTTACTAAAATAAAATTTATATTGTATAATATAATATGATATATATGGTTTATTTTTAGGATCATATTTTTATAGATTTTACTAATAATTTATTATATAAAATTTTAAATACTAAATCATGATTTTTTTTAAATCGAAAATTTTAGCTAAACACAACAATTTTAGAAAATTATATTGTTGACATTAGTTAAGGTCTTAATTAAAGTTATTTTCTGAGTTCGGATGCATATAGGATTAAATTTTTATAAAAAATTACAAAATGTTCAAAAATGCATCACCATATAAAAAGTATATTTGTTTTTTTATTTATTTTTGTTAATAAAGGTCTAAAATACAAAAAGAATTTATTGAAATTTTCTAAAAATTTCAAATTATATGCAAATCGTCATGATTATCAACTTTACTTACTATGAAAAGACTGATTTGCATATAAAAAAATAATGTTTTATATATGGCTACGATCATTAATAAATTAGTTAATTATTAAAAAGCCAGTGATTTTTGTCAAGGAGTGTATAACTAAAACAGCTCTAGTAACCCTGACAGTCTGGTTGGTGAATCCCTTTTGCTATAAGATCATGTTGCCCAAATCCTTTAAATATTTGGGTCTAGTCGGATCAGTCCTGTGATATCAGGTAGCACCAGTTAGTCACAAATCTGCTACTTCTCTATTCGGGATTTGCCAAGCCGGTTTTGATTCTCTCAAACTACTATATGTAAGTCTTTAATATATATTGATTCTGGAAGGCTTATCATGGATTTGCACTGCATATACCAGTTTGCATTTCTTTGTACTGTTATAGAATGAGATTCATATTTTATCTTTATTAGATTTAGAAGCTTGTTGTAATTCTAACAAGCTATAATATATTAGAAACAGATTATTGGTTAATAGAATATTACCAAAACAATTCTAACGTAATATACTTTTTATACTTTTTATACCTTTTATACCTTTTGTACTTTTTATACCTTTTGTACCTTTTATACCTTTTATACCTTTTATATTTTTTATACCTTTTGTACCTTTTATACCTTTTATATGTTTAGTACTTTTTATACCTTTTATACATGTTGTAAAAGCTATATAAACCCTAGCTTTTACCCTTCTTGTACTAGAGGATGTGTTCTTTGCAATGTTCTAAAATATTAGGATTCTATAGGAATAGATACCTATAGATAGCTTTGTATTTAGGCATTGTATTATAAATAAATAAATATATCTTTGCCCTAAAGTAAACCATGTCTTTATGCTTCTAATGAATATATCGAACTGCCCTAGTGAAGAAACATTCCACTTCCACACCGCTTTATATCTCGCTCTGTTATTTTAGAAATCCCTGTCGCTGTGTGTCATGTTGCAGGTGGTAAATTAAAAAGGCTATCCCACTTGTAACAGTACAATGACACAAATGCTTCCATGTCTCCTAGTGCTAACTTGGGGCATTGGTGTGCTCTAGTTTATAGGTATAAAACCCAGCCAAATTTAAAATAAGCTGTTACTATAACACAAGTAAATTATTTGAAATGTTGCCAGTAGGATTCAAACTCAATACTATAGCCAACAAACTTGGGGTGTGACAACTTCACCACTTCGCTACATCGCCACACCTATTCTTCAAATTAGTTTAAATTAGTTTAAATAGTTATTTTTATAGTAAATAATCTTATTATATTTCTATATTTCTATCTATACTAAATATCAACCAAAAAAAAATACAAGATATCCTAAATAAAAATACTTTATATCTTCTTAAACCTTAACTCTAACTCTAAATATTAATATTATTATAAAAATTTTATATTTAAAATTTTTATATTTAAAATTTAAAAAAATCCAAAAAATATAATAAAACATAATAGATACAAAAATTACCATAGATACGTTTAGTATAAAGTTACAGTATATAGCTCGTTGTATATTTATTACTATAATAGCTTATATATATAATATATTTCAAAAATATATATAATATATTTAATAAAGTTTAATAAAATTTTATTATATTCAAATTTATCCAATTAACAACACTAAAAATAAAATAAAATTAGAGTTAAAGCTAAAATAAGGTTTTTTATAGTGCTAAATATATTTTTTTTAAATATATATACACTAAATAAAATGATTAATTGTGCGAAATAACGCACAGGGGGCGTTATTTCGAATAATGGCTCGAATTAAGCTTAATTTAGGCCAAAACTCGAAATTACACCCTGCGCTTATACGGTAATATTATCACGTGAAGTTATACAAGTATATAGTTCATAACAGTAAAATTAGAACGCACCTATGATATATTATCTCAATTAATCAGTGCGAGGTAATTAAGTAAAAAATGTTCACCCCAAAATCCTTCCCAAACACTAACCTAACATAAAAAATTTTTATATTAAAAATTTTATATATAAAACTTGGAAATCTAAAAACCATAAAAACATAATAGCGTAAAACACCATAGATGCGTTCTATAATAATCGGTAGAAAAATATCGGTTTATGTCAATTTGCGTCAATTCGACATACCAATACCTCTGGCCAACAATTCAGAGTGCAAAATCAGGTATAATGTGATTGTAACTTTAAAAGTTAGTTCGTTTGGATAAAGTGCAAATTGACTCATCGGCTCTATTGATCAGTTTCTATCCTAATTAATATAAAAGCCAATAGAGTCATTTTGCATCTCTACGTTTAGGTGGTGTTTGATAGAAGTCCGTATCTTCTTTTTTAATATACATTTCCGGAGCAATATAAACCACAAAAATTTATAGTTTAAGATATTAACTTCTACCAGTCTATTATAATTCTGGCCATTATTACTGTATAATGTTACATGACATATAAATATTAATTCTATAATTCTGGCCAAAATTATATATAAAAATAACGATTTACCTATAATTTGACTAAAAATAACAATTTAGTGCAGGCGCACCAGTTTATAAAACCTTAATTTTTAAACCCCCATACTTCAAATCCTATACAATCGAACTCTGGAGACGATGATAGGATATCATTGTCAAAGGTATCACATCGTTCGGAATGGCCTTGTTGCAGATCAGCATCGATCCAAAGTCCTACTTTACCATCGCTATTTTGTTTATGAGTTGAATATTTAGCCAAGTTATAATGTACGGATAAGACTTAAAGCCTACGAGTAACATACCCTCCGCCAATTGCTAAGCAATCATGTTCGCTTAATATCATGTATTCATTCCTTCCTGTCCATAAATAACATTTTACTGTTGATTGTGAAGAATCGTCCCTTATGTGTTTCCACAAAAAACTACAATGCATATGTCGGAAAAGATGTTAATTTGATGCGTCAAGAAAATTATCAAATATATCGATTATAATTTTCTCACCATTCTCCAGTCCCATAGTAAGAAGGACGTATTTTGAATGGTTCTGTCACAAATGCTCCAAAAACCTATCCATTTTAACCAAAAAGATCTCATATCAACTTAAGAGTTGCCTTGCATAATTGTGATAAGTTAAAATTAAGTAAGTCGACCTGTTCATCCATGTCCTTGATCACCAATACTAAAGGGCCTTTGTCCTTAACTTTATGATACATAGTAGTCATACTTGTTCCATCTTGATCGAGGCTGTATAACAAGTTCCATGATAGCATTAATCGTAATCGTCGTGGAAGCTTAAGTCGGATCTAACGGACAGTTCCGTACAAATAATAAATTAAGAAAAATATTGAATATTGCAAATAAAATAAACAAAAATCCATTCCACAAGATACTGTTAAGTGTAATACGTCTGAATTAAATCATCGATTTATGTCACGATTTTCATTTGAATAAATAAATAATAGGGTCCACGCTGATGTACCCTTAAATGTGACATCCCACCACTGCCGTTAATTTCGAAGATTGTACAAATACCTGTTCAGCTATAGTTTCAGTCAAAACCGGATCAGTATCGTCGCGTCTGCCACAAAGTTCAATTGGTGTTAATAATTCACTGGGGGTTTGCAATTGTGTTGACTCCTGTGGTGGCGTCAAAGGAACAGCTTGTGTAGTCATCTTATGATTATCCCAATCTCCTATAATTGTACTAGCGATACTAGATTGAGCTGAAGAAACGCTAGATTTTATTGTGGTTGTCAGCAAGCTAATCGAATTATCATCGTTACTAGCAACCATAACAGGAACTACCCTCAGAGACGGCTTAGCTCGCCAAGGGAAGGTACGGAATTTCCTTGCAAAACTCGTAGACGTGTAAAAAAGGTCTTCTACAGGTGGCGAAGAACTATTACAAAGGACAGGTGATTGATTCAGAGAAATTGTGTAATTATCACGACCAACAATATTCCAGAATAGATCAGTAGAGCTTTTATTGTTAATCGTACTGTGGGTTCTTTTTATAGATATGTCTCTTGGCAAAGAAAAGTTTGAAGATTCTGGAGCAGATAGAGTTCGAGTTATCGACTTTTTTAAATGAGTATCGTAAGAATCTGACATTGGAAAGTTTAAAAAAACAAACCGTTAATTACAGCTCACACCCTAGTGCCAGTGTGAAAGTTGAAAAAATTCTCGTAACGCAAAAGCGTCGATCTTGATTCACCATTGCGTTAGGGTAGAAGACATTCTATTTTTAGCTTTTGTACGCTATCCTAACGCTAATACGTAGAAGAAAGCACGTCGACACATTACGCCGATGATGTCATGCTTTTATTATTAATAATCATTACATTTTATACGTATACAAGTGCCGTGCCTTTTTATTACATATCAAAAGCTAAAAAAAAAAGCCATGAGAAATATGGCTTCAGTCTATTGCTCGTTTCATTGAGAATTTTTAATATTAAATATTATATTATTAAACTGTATTAATTATTCTAGATATATATATATATATATAAGTCACTCTCGTTGTACGTAGTGAAGTAATCGGCTGTGAAATTTCTTAATATCATATTTAGGTTTTATGCAGTACGTATAAATTTTCATCATGTCCAATTATTTTGGAATTGGACTATGTCCAATTGGTCCATTGCCAAACTGAAAAATTTGTAATATTTGTAACTTAATCCTACATGTGACCGTTTTTTGTAACCATAAATGCTTTTAGCCAACAAAAAATCAAGAATTCTATGAAATTGCTGAAAGTTCTCAAATATTTGGATTTACTTGGAAAATGCATGAATATTTGGTCCAATTTTTCCGTGTTGTAATATTTAAAACGTAATATATACAAAATTTGAATATAACCGAAGTAAAAATCGACCCCAGCTAATAAATATTCTAAATTTTTGCAATACGTAACACAGATCTTGTATAGCACAAAAAATTAAAGCCAAAAGTTAATCCAAATGCGCCACCCACGTGATTGCAAAAGTGTCTAAAACTTTGGCATCTTCCCCAGTATCGCCACCAAAAAGTTACGGACACGTGACCGTATTTGCGGTAAACCAAAAAATCTTTAAATTGCTTTAGGTTAGGGTTAGGGTATATGCTAAGGTTAGGGTAATAGTAAATTTCCTGATCGTATTACGTTACACCTGATCTTGAGATCTGATTGGTTACAATCACGTGTCCGCAACTTTTTCGTAACTTTTTGGTGGCGATGCTGGGTAGTTAACAACGGCATGCGGGTCACAAGTAGCCGCGTTATTGCGGCAATTGCCCGACACAACATATCTAATCTTGACAACGCTAGGGCGTAGAATTTTCAAAATTTTCACCTGCACGTGATTTTAAACCAATAACATTTCAAGATCAGGTGTAACATTACACGATCAAGAAAATCAAAACAAATGTTCGCTTTGTCAAAAATCACTTGTAACTCAAAATGTAGTATAAGAAACCACCTTTAGTGCTTTAACAAAAAGTTTTCCTTGAGCAATTTTACCTACAGCTCTTTCTAACTAAACGAACTTAATTGATGATCCAGGTAAGATCGGCACTATTACCATATTGGGATAATAGTAAATTTTGGGAATAAGTACAATATAAACTTTTATTATATGCTGAAATCTGACTTCGGTC